TGATATGAAAAATAAAACATCAACAATTTTTTTAATTTAGTTTTAAAACGTTTTATGATGTTTAAGTTATAGTTTTTAGTTAGTGACTTTACGTGTTATGACTTAATGATATTATGAATATCTTTAAACTGTAGTATAAAGATGTATAAAACAACGGCTTTTTCATTGTATATACATTTTTAATACCTTATTCTTATTCTTATTCTTTACAGTAAATATACTTTTAAAAATAAAGTCAGTACTCTAGTACCTGTATATTGTAACTAAACAGTTATTTTTTAATCTATGATTTTTTATTTCATGAAAATATACTTCATTATTTTTTAAGGCATACTTCAAATCGTATTATTAATAGGGATGGACAAATTACTTGAAACAAAGTATCTAGGTATAATATTATACTCGATACATAAATGTTTACATCTAGAAACAAGGTACATTCAACATGGTTTACAAAATATTAGATACATACTAAGTATGCTCTCGAGGTTTTGTAATACATTAATAACAAAATATTACTAACAAAACACGTGATTGCTTCAACGGAGACTTAGGGACGACACACGGGTTGAGCGCGTGTTAAAATCACTCTTGAATCATGATTATATTATATTGACGGATTACGAAAATCATGTGTAACAGACCATTATGTCTCTAGAGCTGATAGCTGCACCATCCGATTTACGTGTCTACCGAGTGTGTGTGTGTATTTGTTGGGAGTCAATTTTAAGAGAATTAATCGAAAAGCTATCTGACGACGAACACGTGAACGCAAAATTTAAATAGCAATTAACGAAATTCCCTTTTCCAACGGTCGTTGTTATTATTACGCCTCGAAAATTTCGCAATCGGACACTGTAAAAACCATGTTTGTCACAGCTCACCCTCTTCATTCTGACTCTTTCGAGAAACGAAATTAAATTTCAGAGAAGTCATTTTGGATCCTCCACCACTGCGCACTCTGCCCGATACGGAAAATCGTGTGTGGAAGTATATAATATAAGCAAATGTTTCCTCTTCAGAGGGGTTATAAAAATGATAAACGTGGGGGGGGATACCCGACCCGACGAAAGAAGAAACATTTTATAGACACACGAATCGTTTTTAAATATTATTTTAGGTGTTTTAGAAAATCCTTTCGGATAGAATTTGAAAGAAAAACCTACCCCCAAAAATATATCGTGAACTATTCGTCCAATTTCGGGATGTGTCTGCGTATTGTACAGCGCCAACTTGGCATTTCTGTATAATATAAACCATTGGCTGGAAGAATACTCGTAGTACCGGCTATAATATAAACGTGATCGGAAACACTAAACGACTGAATTTAATCAAAACCCGGAATCCTCAGAAGTATAACAATAACTACACGGTTCCTGAGTATTTTACAGTTTCGATAAAAAAGACCGAAGCGTTTTTTTCTCATCCCGTCCAATCGTGAAAAATTAACTTCCTTTCCCGTGTTGTGATATCAGAACACAAACGTAAGAATTTTATTGAACACGGTCTGCAATTCGTTGGCTGAAGATCCGTCGCACGTTCAATATCATTCATCATAGTGCATTGAAATCATAAAGTATGATACTGTTGACGGCTGATTTGTTATATAACACAAACATAATTTAATAATATAAGTGCGATTTTATTTATCTCCATAGCATGAAATATAAAAAATAAATGAGATTATTTTGTACACAGTTTACAATGGTGTACAAATATAATATAATAATATGCTACATTGGAGGTTTTACTGTCGTCGACATATTTCAAAAATAGGTTATGCGTATAAAAGGTTCTAGTAGTCACTGTACTTATAAATGTAATAAGCACAATATTAAAATGACAAGATTTTCAACTCGGATAGAAGATTTTATTAAAAACGTTTGATTATTGTATTATAAATTTATTAAAAATGTACGAGAGAAAAATAATTAAATTAGCTTCTGTCAATTTCCGAGACAGCTTCTAAAAGAAGTTTTTATTTTTTTGAGAGTTTTACAATAATTTACAAATAAAAACTTATTTGTATAGATATTTAGCAAATTATATCCAAAGATTGTAAGTTTTTAACTTTTCATAAAAATTCATATGCTTACGTACGAGCTACTGAAACATTAAATAAATATTGTCATCGACATTGAATTCATTATTAATAACTTAAAAACTAAAATGATCAATAACCTAAAACAACATTATAATAATGCGGCAGAGCAAACAATGGTAATCTAAAAACAGATAAAAAAAAACGTTTTATCTACACTCTAATCGTATTATTAGTTGAACAATTTGAAATTATTAATTTAAAAATTACAGCAGATTAAATATCAACGTTTCAATAAAAAATGTATTTTAACAACATTTTTAATTAAATCTGTAGGGTGGAACAAATTTGAAAAAAAAAACATAATTCAATATGGATTCCACGCGCAAATGTGGAGGTGTAAATTTATTAGGATATGTGACCATTAACTCACCAGTTTGAGAATCGTCCCAGATAATCATATGGAACTTTGCATAAATTAAACTCAACTGTATACTCAAATGTTTGTCCGATTGGAATTATTAAAAAGAAACGTCGTTAATCCCTCTGTGATATTTCGCACTCGTATAATATTCAACGGTAAGTACTTAACCAATATAGGTACATCAATATTGCGCAAAATGTACTCTCGTATACTGAGTATTATTCTAAATTCTGTGTACAGAATGTAAAACTGCTGCATTCAGAGCATATTTGCATACGGATATGATGCATAACAGTGGTGTGTGGACTACTGGCACTTTTTAAATGAAATTCAAGTACGCACTTATATTTTTTTATGGTCTTCATATAGGTTAAAAGTCACGGAAAATATGAATTTAACACGCACTAAAACATTGTACGCATGTTTGTAAAACGTTTATAATACTAAAAATGTGAGCCTGCTATAATGTCATCATGCTCTCGTTATAGTCCAAGGTCGTGGTATCTCATGCAGGGTCGAGTGTAAAATTAATTCAACGATCTCCACACCGTTATTATTAACGGCCAACAGACTTACACAGTACGCCAAACACGGTTTGTTGTGGAGTTTTCGATTCGTAGTGTTCACATAATCACTGCCATTGTTGTTAGAAAATACCTGTAGCGGCTATTACACATTATTGTGTATAATTATTTTAACGGACTAGAGACGAATACAAATCGAATATACGTTTAGCTGTCGTATGTATACGAAAACTACTGTAGAAAAGGTTTTCGTTTTTTGATCAATATTTAAACCTTGAAACCGAAAAAGAAAATAACATTGCTACCCATAGTTGACCATTGTCCGAAACTTCATCTATTAGTTAAGATTTTACTCTATATAATATCAATCATTGATTACGACTAATTTGAATGCACATAGTCTATTAATCTGAAATTTATCTGCATCAACCTAACCTAACCATAATTTCAAAGGTACCACAGAACGTCTGAAATTATATAATAATGTAGGTAGTTATAAGTTGCTGACGGTCGTTAGTTTGGTTCAATTTAATTTATTAAAAAAATATTTATTTAACACACACCATATGGTATATATAAGCAATTTAATTATTTTTTAGTTTTCGATTTAATTATGGTCGGCAAATTATTTACAAAAGGGTGTCTTCCTATACATTTCACACGATTTAATTACTACAAAACTTTTAACAGAGACCTATAAAAATTATTTCGTAATAGCAAAATAATAATATTTTGGAATAAACATAATTTCATTAAAAGGCAAGTGAGAAGCATAAATACAATTATTTTAATATTTTATTATGACAAACATATTATCATAGCCGTTTTAACTGTTATATTAGAAACATAAATAGAGTTAATTTAATTTGCAATAAATATTATTTACCTTAAATATTATAATACCTTGAACTTTCTTGTAATAAAAATTTTTATTTAACATTAAATTTAAAATAATGTTTTTTTACAAAGTCTACCAAAATTATTATTTGTTAATAATAATGCAATATAAAAGTTGTCTTGTAATACACGATGTAAACGTCATTCCACGCTTTCAATATTTAAAACAATTTTCAAAGTTTTCAAAAACAAAACGTAAAAGTATATTTTTGATAATATTTTTATATAGGTCGCTCATAAAACGAAAGGAGTTATATTTTTCCTCTTATTACATTTTAATAAATAGCCACAAACAAATCCTCCAAAGTACTTCGTGTTTACTTTCTATACGAAGCCACTAATGTCTAACCAATTTTCAGAGAACATACTTTATGATACCAAAACAAATGCTTTTTGTTATAGAGGTCTACTATATTACGTAAAATCTAACGAACAAAATATAATAACGTGGTTTAAAACTTTTGATTGGAAACCTTATCACCTGCACATTCGTTGTCAACAAATTAATAACATCATGATGTAAATTATAATACTTTACACTTAGTAATATAGAATGCAATATGTGTTTGACTTTGACGAATTTTCTCAATATTTGTCAATGGTAAATAGTTCAACAAAAATACAAAAATTGCATACAATTAATCACACAGTACTTATAATATTATTAATATTATTAATTTTACTCTCTAGTCTTTTTAATATTAAATATTGTCATATTATATACTATTGTTCTTAGGTTAAATCTCAAAAGCTAAAAAGTAAAAGTTTTTTTGTTTTTTGGTAGAAATGCCGTTTTGAGTCGGAATAGTCGAGAAAATGGCTATAATATCAATAGGATTGCAGTTATTAGATTTAATTGATATGTTAATAGTTTATTATAAAACTGCACTATATGATGCAAAATATGAAAATATGAACATTTTCGAAAAAGTATAATAATATAAAGGATGTTATAACATAAATACAAGGAATGGTAATAATGGCACGTGCAAAATATACCCGACAATTATAATATACGCAAGAAGAACCACCGAGTGTTCCTGCTGTTCCATTTTGGAGTTAAGGGAAAACGCGGTGACCCACCCTGCATGCTACGGTTACGGATAAGACTCACTTTCTCATATCCTTCAGCGACGATCTCCTACTGGAGCAGATTGGCACGTCCTTGCCGATCTCCTGTGTGCGCAATACGCTCCGGGTCTTGGCCCGGGCAAAGTCGTGCCGCCGGCATCTCTTTGAGTTGGACCTGTACATCTGGGACACGGATAGCGAGTTGGTGCCGTTGACCAGGATACTTGGCGCGTTCGGAGATGTAGCCGGTGATATCTGCTGCTGTATTGCCAGCCCGTTGGTTGGACTCACGTTGCCTGATGAAGACGTGGACGTGGCTGATGAGATGTAATCGTTGATGTTGAGGAATCCGTGTGAAACGAGCCATTTGTTGATCAGGTCCAGTTCAATTTTTCGGAGGAAGTAGTCCTGACAGTGGTCAGGGTGGCTGTCCAGCCATTCCTCGACCACTGACAGCGTGATTTGTGTCATGTTGTCACCGTTCAACGCGGCGACGTCAGCCCCTTCATTCTCCCGCATGCATCAGCGTCCAGATCACAACAGATAGAAACCCGATGATGATTAGGTTTTGGTGTGCAAATGGCTGAATAGAAAACATAATATAGAATAATATTACAATTAGATATTAATGTGTGTTACATGGTATTATTATCTATGGTATTTCGAGTAATAGTTTTATGTATCGAATGTTTTAGGTTTCACTAGTATTTAATAATAAATTTTGCAGTAATCGGAAATGCTATTGGCTAAATTATAATGTATTACTATCATTATTTATGATAATATACAGATGTAAACTTACAATAATAATATTAACAATAGCGATCAGTGTTTTTTATTATTTAAATAAACATAATCAAGCCTAAATGAATATGTATGTTACGTCTTTCAGTCAAAATATAATGTATTATTGTTTAATACTTAATCCGGAAATATCGTACTTAAAATATCTTTAAATTGAATGACTATAAAAGTTGTCAAATGAGATTCCTAAAACAGTTGGATTAAAAACGATGGCAGAATTTAACTATTGGAGCAAGAAATAATTAATAATATTTTATAATTTATTAATAAATTTACTTGATTGTATTTCCTTACTGTCTTCAACATAATCAAAATACGAATTCGATTAAGTACCGACATGATTTTAATAGATTATTTATTATGACACGGCGTCTTGTATAGGCAATATCGCTACACCACTGTCATTGTTTCAGTTTTCCTGTCTCATATCTCTCAAGAGAACACAATGCTTGCATATTATTATTATGTTGTCTCTGCAATCGATACGTATATCATAACAACAATTTTATGTACATTAGAATTAACGTTGTGTTTTAGCTTCAATATTAAAATTGGTTACTAACCATACACCTCAAAAGGTAAGAATATTAAAAAAGTTATATTATACGTCTATTTTTACTATAATTAAATTAATTCCAATTTTAAATATTTCACATACTCATAACTTGTTTTTATATAACTTTAAATTCGATAATCAGTAAATTATCGAAAATATTAAATTTAACTACACAAAATCGGTTCTGCTGAAAATTTGTTGTATACCGTGTATTCTGTACAAGTACAATGAATTGGAGCGTGGCGTATTATAAACTATGGTTGGTTAAAGATTAAAATAAATTAAAATACGATTTAAGTGAGTAAATTAATTAAGATTAATTGATTAGTATATAGCGAGACGGAGGTTATGGCTACTAGGTGGTCTGAGGATTAGATTTTATTACTACTGAGTGCAATTTTAGGTCACTATAATAATGAAATAAATAATAATTAGCCATGGTTTAAAGTAAAAAAAAAAAACAATTATCAATACAATAATCACGTCATTAAAAAAAAAAAAACACTTGTGCCGTTATTGAATCAAGAAAAACACGAAGTGTTCAATATGAAATATTAAAATGTTCATAATATATTAGTGAAGTGATAATTATATGGTTAATAAAAAAATGTAACCACTCATGTATCTACACTACTTCCAAAGTTCCAACTTTACTATGCTATGAGCATATATTCTCTGGTATTTAGAATTCACCCTTTCACATTTTATCAAACACAATATCTAAGCTCATTTCTATGGCTTTAACACAGCATTCTAACTTTATATGTTGTGATACCAAAATGTTTGCTAAACAAATTTTGGTTTTTATAGGTAGATGTTATCGTTATTCATGTATGCATGTGTAATGTGTAACACATTATGTGTTCATGTAATCATGTATAGTACATGTGTGATATACAATATATATATAATGCACTTTCGAGGCTTTAAGGTTTTTTAAGATTAAACTGAAGTTTATTTAGTTTGCAGACAGTCTTTACTAAATAAGCCTACTAGATCCTGCTAAAAACATTGAACGCTTTGCCTCAATCCTGCGGATTGAAATCGTTGACAAATCACATTAGAGCAAAATAAGATAGTAACAAGTAGGTCGAAAAATAAAAATAAAATGATTTAAGATTTAGTTAAATTTATCATAGAGTACAATATAGGCAATTAATTATTCAAAAGTAAAGTTTACTATGTAATCACTTATCACTGATCATGTTAAGTAACCATTATTCTGATTTTGTTCAAAGCTGTTCAAGCGTTAAAATAAAAAACAAATCACGTCTTTTAATCATATATTTTATAAACCTTTATTTTTCAACAAACTAGGAAAGATAATAGTATTGTATAGTTATAAAAAAAATTGAATAAAGTAACAATATAGAAAACGACTTCAGTTAGCGTGTATTTAAACAATATTCTATTAATAATAGTTCCGAAATATCACACTAAACAATATATTATTATACGTATTTTAAAAAACCAGTGAATTTAGTCGACAACTGTATAGTAGGGTTTAAGTATATAAATAATAAGAAAGCTACATGCCATATGTGTTCATTTGAATTTAACGATTTGATACAAAATTCCGACATTGTGGATGCTTTTATTTCGAAGTTAGTTTTATAATTTATTTATATTATACTTAGTAATTTAGTAGAATGAACTCATTTTTAGGAGAAAACATCGCATATATCATACATAAATAAATATTACATTATATCATATATTATTGTTATTATCTTATAATTCAAAACCGACATATGTGATGTAAAAAGGTTTCTGGAGTTAAAATTAGAATAAATATTTTAAAACTTTCATTGTGTATGGACAATTTTAGTTTTAGTAGTAGTAAAATATTTTGAAAATCAATGTTTAATATTTTTTTAATTACAACAGTGAAATAACAAAAATAGTTTGACAGGAAATTATTATTTTACATTTAAGTACCTATTCAATTACGTCTGAATTTAAATTTCAAACGCTCTCAAAAACTAATGTGACTCTGACCTTTGATTTGATTTCAGTAAAAACCACTTATGATAATTCTCTTATTCGTTCTAATACTTGTAAAATAATTTTGCTACTACCAAATTTTTTTAATTTCTTATTTTTATACGTTTGGACTTACGAAAAAATATAAGTCAATAAAAGATTATTAGAAAAGTAGAACGTTTTAAATATTAAATCTATATAAAGAGCACGAAAATATTTTGTAAATTATATTATCATTGCAACAAAATTTAAATACAAATATTAATAGTGGATAGAAGTTTGTATAGATATATATTTTTAAAACATGACAAATAACCCAAATTAGTTGAACAATATTTTTACGTATGTGAATTTTACCGTTTTACAGTAATATGTTTTCTGTTTTTCCCAATTTTATTGAAAAATACTGTGAATATTTATTTTACTATTGGCCTCCTTCTACCCTCCAAACCAAATACTAGTTAGATCCAATTTTCTACTAGAATCAACTTTCAAAGTTGAATATTGAAGCACTTGTACTAGTGCAGAAAATGACAGACACAAAAAAACTATTATAAATCCAATGCATTCACCATTTCGCTCAGAATCTAAAAATCGTTCAATATTCGAAAACATAATATTTGGAATTTATTGACTGCATTGCGGCAAGATGGTGAAAAATGCTGCTTTGCACAGTTGCTATCAATTGTATACTGCACCAGCATAAAATTTAATTGAATACTAATATTATTGTGCAGACGGTTTCTTGGGAGACACGCCTCTGAGTACCGTGAGTTATACAATAGTACTATTGAGTGTTAACCTGTCATTGTGCAATATATTATATGTGTTTAAGTGTATATAGTGTGATTAAGATCAAAACTTTATATTTAAAAATATGGAAGTACATAAAAAAATTATAAGTTTATACTCCTAAAAACTGAAAATATAATACATCCGGTCATTAAATAGCTACGTGGCCAACGAGTAATATTTAAAGTAATAATTAAATTAATAGGTAGGTAATTCAGCGTAAAAAAAATCATACAGTATACATAATACTCGGTGCACAAAGGTTGTTGAGCAGATTGTTTGTGATTGGGGGGGGGGGGGGATAAAAGTAAAGAGGGTTGTCGGTGAGAGAGAATCCAAATAACTATATACCGGAACCACCCCCCACCCATCATCATTTCCACTGAAATCTTTATCCCTTATTTCCGGTCGGCTTCCGTGGTGCCGTGAGGCCATGCGACTGCGCGCTGACGTCACAATGACGACGAAACAATACCAGCAATAATAATAATAATAATTGATATTCACCGCTTGCATCATACGCGTGTTTCCAGTATATATTATGTTGTGCTGCGACCTCCAACCCCCCTCCATATTCTACACAGTCTTCTTCCTTGGATCGCGGCGACCCTTAATAGTTAATTCCTTTCTGCCAAAATCTCAAAAACTGCCACCCATCCCGTCCACTACCGTGACACACTGACACGCGTGACCTTTCACGAAAGACAGCGGAGGTAATCTCGTGAATTCAACTCGCATAGTATGTTTTATAATATCCTCTTCAAAACGAGTTCCTCTTACGGCTGTATTACATAATACTCAGCCACACACGTGCACAACACTCGCTGCACGCGAAAAATGGTTGATACATAATATGTTTATTATCATATATCGTATATTTATAAAATATATAAATGTATATAGTTGGGTGTGTGTGCACGAAAAACTTCAGTACGCATGTAAGGATCAGTTTACGATTTTTTTTCCATCGAGGAAAATGTTATATTGTTTCTTGTGTTCAGACTTTAGATCGAGTTGTAAATCTGTTTCTGATTGTGGTGACGCCCGTTAAGGTAACCTCTGAGGATTCTCACTTCGTAGTCCAAATGTCGACAAGTTGTAATGTCCAAAAGCGGTCAATATGAACCTACTTGATAGTAGTTGTGAAAAGAATATAACTGTGCCATTAAGTATTTTTCATTTTGCTGTTTTCCCATAAAATAATAGTAGCAAAGCTTAGTTTATTGATGATAATATGTATTGGCTATTTTTTACTCGCTGACATTAATAGTAATGCTATCTTAGGATCAATCGAAATTCTACGGACACCTTGAGTTCTTACTCAACTTATACGAAATATTTACTTAAAATGTATTGTTAAGAAATCGATGTCCCTATAAATGTG